AAGTTCCATGCCTTACACATCCACTTGCTGGTTGAGTGTCATCTTGGCTTTCTCCAAGGTTTGGGCTCTTATAGACAAACTGGTATTAGTATTTGCATGTGGGTTTTGATGTGCACAGAAGTTATACAGCCATATTTTCTTCTTGCAAAGCTTTTTTTTTCTACAGCATTTTTCTTTGAGCCAAGATTCTTCTAAATAGAGGAAAGGTGACTACTGTTTGAAATGCAGGTATACGCCCCCCCCTTCCCTCTGGAGTAACTACAGGAGAATGGGAAACCACTAAACTTCGACCTGAATTATTTTACATGGAAGTTGTTATATGACCGACAGCTTCATGTTTTTTTTTCTTTCAAAGCCCAATGAGGGTTATATCACCTTGTGGCTTCTATTTCCTCTCATGGAACTATTTACCACTTTCAAAGAAATACGGAATGAATTAGTATCACAGGCAGAGATAACCCTGCAGCCAGATGAGCGCCAACGCACAGGTGGTTCGCTTAGCTGGACCAGATAAAGACAAGACAATAAATGTCTACACAAGGGTGATTTATCACAGGAGACCAATTACTGAAATGGGCCCCGGGTGTCCTGTTGCTTGGTTTCGAGAGCACTGCATTTATGTATGTGATTCGGGTGCTGAGAATGTTCACCGCAGGAGTTAAAAATTGAGAAAGACTGAACCTCGTCTACCCTGTGGCATTTGCAATCCTGTAGCAGATGTGTGGCTGGCAGCAGGTGACTGAAGTATTGTTTCTGCATCAGAAATCATCTTTGCCACTTCTGTGGGGAGGTCACCCTGTGATTCTTCCTCCCCTTTCCTGGAAACTGACGCGTGGAGAGTGTCTTGACCAGATATGATCTGTCTCCTGGATAGGATTTATTAGCGTCATTATTTCTCTGCAAAATAGGTCTGATATCCTTGCAGAAGCTCAACTGCTGTAGTCACGCTGCAGTGATTCGATGAACCTAACCCCAAATTTGCTTTCCATGTGCAGATCAGTGATGTCACCCACAATCCCCAGAGGATATGAAAAGATTGGCTCCTCACATAATAGGGTTGTGATGGGGTGAGCTGCTTTAAAAATGACTTGAGAGAATGTGAGGAAAGATACAGAGAAAATGTGTATAAATACAGCTGATGAGCATGTAAATTATTTCCAAGATTTACCAATTGTAAATCATGCTGCTATAACATGGGCACAATGGATCACTGTGATGCCAAGTTTTTAACTGTTTAAGGAAGATACCTACAAATAAATAGCCGGGTCAAATGGGACTCATAGTTTTAGTTTTTGAGGGATCTCCATGCTTCTAGTGTTATGCAACCCACAGTGGATGCTCTATATTCCTACCAGCGGTGTAGAGGCATTGGTCGGAAAATGGGTGTGCCTTCAAGTCATAATGTTGAGTGAAATAAATCAGACACACAAGCCTACATATCAGATGAAACCCAAAATTTAAATAAAGTGCAAAATGATAGATAACCGAGTCATAGGAGGTCAGAGATGGATCTTTCTCAAGTGGGAAGAAGACCAAGAATTGGAAGGCACAAGGAGGGAGGGGATGGTGGGGAATGAAGGTATGTCGCTTACGTGTACCAACTCCACACAGAGGCTGTACACGTTACGTCCCACAAACGTGTACAAACAGGGGCTCTTGCTTGCACACGCGGTACAGCCTGTTCTATCATAAAGAAGGATCAGCTCCTGGCATTTGAGATGGCATTGTGGAACAGGAAGACACCCCATTCAATGCAGAGAGCCAGATGTCAAGCGATGCACGCCACGTGATCTCATTCACGGGTACAAGTGAGAAAAGGTGACGTCCTCAAAACTGAGAGCAGGTGGCAGTTACGCAGCCTGGGAGACTGAGACTGTAAAGGGGTAGAGATTGATTAAGAAATACGAAGTTATGCTTAGACGGGCAAAGTGAGCCGTGCTGTGTTACTGTTAGGTGAACACTGCTCTCGACTGCTTGTGTATTTTTAAAAGAAAAAGTGTGGAGAAAAGGTTTTAAATGGTTTTACCCCTCAAAAAATAATAGAAGCTTGAGTTTCAATTTTTTGAGAAATCCCCATACTAATATCTGTAGTGGATAGATATGGTGTATTCATAGATATATTTTCCCTGGCTTGAACTCTAAACAGTGTATGCAGTACTATGGACAAAATCCTCCTTGCTTTGAACATACCTTGCCATCATTCCTGCTACTTTTGGAAGCCGCTACAGAAGTCCTTTTGCTCTAGCATCTTTACGAGTTGTGATAAAAATATACTGGACTCTGCTGCAAAGTGGCATCCCAGGGAAAGGCAGGTTCATAAAAACATGACACCATGTGCATCCTGACACCCACCGTATTCGCCGGAGCTGGCACCGTGTGACTTCTGACACTCCCCCAACATCAGAAGGACCATGAAGGATCAGTGTTTTGAATGCATTTTGGACATGAGGCAGGCAGGACGGCCCACCTAAAGACGTGTGTGGAAGAACACTTGCAGGCACTGCCTGCCGTGCAAGGTCGTCAGAATGATGGGATAAATGTTTTGGAAAGAGGGGGTGGCATTTGAGGGGGCTTCGGGACCATGTGTCTTTTGCTCTAATCCATTTTTGTTTTCCCAGTTCAAGTCAGAGGGTTAATGCCCTGTACTTGTAGCAAAGCTCCAGAGAGGTACACGTTAGGCATGCAAAGTGAACGCCCAGTCACCGTGCTCAGGAGCGGGAGGACCCCCGATCCATTTTAATTTAAATATTCACTTGACTTTTATTTAATTGCATCGCATACCTGTTTGAAAACATCCCATCCTACCTCATGAAATGCATGACTGTTATATATCAATGGATGTAAATTGATAATGGATTCAGCCTGCTGTGCCAGTTGAAGTCCAGCTGTATGTACTCTGGTCCTGAACTGCAAACCAGCAGCGTGTAACTGTGTGATCTGCAGGGAAATTCTGTACTGTTCCTCTCTGATTGGGCTATCATTGTCTTCTGTTTAAAGGGCCGTGGTGGCTTCTGTTGAGTCTGTTGTGTTTCTCATGAAGTAAAATCATGTTTTGGCTTTTATTTACTTATTTATTTTTGTTTTTCTTTAAAGTCAAGCAATTTTGTTTTGAGCAAAGAGTCTCATCCAGTTGCCAAGGGTGACCCTGAACTTGTGAGCTTCCTGTGTTAGCCTCCTGTCTGCTGAGAGTGTAGGCAGGTACCATGACACCTGGTTTCCTAAGGAAAATTGTAAGCGTGAATAGAAGTGGAACAGTAGAGTAGTTATTTGTGTGCTTTTCTTCCATATACAGCAGTTGTGGACTTGGGCTGACCTCCTCACTCTCCGCACTCACCTGTCCTGTTCTAGCCTTAGTTCAGAAGAACATCTTTTGACATCATTGTCAGCGACAGCATTTCATCCATGGGTGTGACCAGAGAGCTCTGTGAAATGCTTTTCCTCCTCCTCTTCCTTCTCCTCCTCCTCCTCCTCCTCCATCTCCTCCTCCTCTTCTCCTCCTCCTCTTCTCCTCCTCCTCCTCCTCCATCTCCTCTTCCTCTATCTCCTCCTCCTCCTCTTCCTCCTCTTCCTCCTCCTCCTCTTCTTCCTCCTCCTCTTTCTCTGACATCTCCTCCTCCTCTTCCTGTTCCTCCTCCATGTCCTCCTCCTCTCCTCCTCCTCCTTCTCTTCCTTCTCTTCCTCCTCTTCCTCCTCCTCCTCCTCTTTCTCCTACATCTCCTCCTCTTCCTGTTCCTCCTCCATCTCCTCCTCCTCTATCTCCTCCTCCCCCTTCTCTCCTCCTCCTCCTCTTCCTCCTCTTCCTCCTCTTCCTCCTCCTCTTCTTCCTCCTCTTCCTCCTCCTCCTCTTCCTCCTCCTCCTCTTTCTCCTACATCTCCTCCTCCTCTTCCTGTTCCTCCTCCATCTCCTCCTCCTTCTCTTCCTTCTCTTCCTCCTCTTCCTCCTCCTCCTCTTCCTCCTCTTCCTCCTCTTCCTCCTCCTCTTCCTCCTCCTCTTCCTCCTCCATCTCCTCCTCCTCTTCTCCTCCTCCTTCTTTTTCTCCTCTTCCTCCTCCTCCTCTTCCTCCTCCTCCATCTCCTTCTCCTCCTCCTTCTCCTCCACTTCCTCCTCTTCCTCCTCCTCATCCCTCCCTTCTTCTATTCCTCCTCCTTCTCTTTCTCCTCCTCCTCCATCTCCTCCTTCTCCTCCTCCTCCTCCGTCTCCTCCTCCATCTCGTCTTCCTCCATCTTCTCCTCCTCCATCTCCTCCTCCTCCATCTCCTCCTCTTCCTTCTCCTCCTACCCCCCTCCTGCTTTTTCAAGGTCTTTTGTTTTGTTTTGTTTTGTTTTTTCCTGTTTGTCTTGTTCACTAAATCCACCCACTGATCTGTTCAGAGTTTAGCATTCTGAGTTTTAGAATCTGACTTAACTCTTACTTTCTGTTCCCCTCCTTTCCCCGTCTCTGAACTGGAACAGCTCTCTTCTCTTTTTACAGCACTATTGCTTTCTTGTGTAAAGTAAAAAAGCAGCTGTGACTTTAAGGGTTCCTGGGGGTACACACCACAGAACAGGGAACACACCCTATCACCTATGGCGAGCAATCAAGAGATTGCGTGAAATATTGTGGTTGTAATTGCTGTTCGTGTTAAGTTGGACCGGCGGGCAGTGTTAGACTAACGGAGAAGGAGGAGAAAAAAGAAAACAGAAACTATGAGAAATATTGATATTCGTGATGGATAGTTCTAGGTTTGGGTGTCTACTGCAAAATATTGCAAAATGAGGTTCGTTCCAAAACAGTTGCAGACATATTTGCTCCTGGGGTGGGTTACTTCTTTGGAACTTCAAAGCCTGGGCCAGCTGGAGTGGCCTCTGTCGGTGGCCATTCTCGGAACCATGTCATGACGGGTCCTTTTCCAATTGTGTTACACCTCAAGATGCAGAGGTACCGCCTTCCTGCCTTGAGGAATGAACTACCTTCATGATGGTGGAACTTCTCTAAAGCGAGGTCTGTCTGTCTCTTCCAGGGCAGGTTCTGAATGTCCTGGATGAGCTGGGACTGGCCGACAATACCCTGGTCTACTTCACATCAGACCAGGGAGCCCACGTCGAAGAGGTGACGAGCAAAGGGGAGATGCATGGAGGAAGCAACAGGATCTATAAAGGTGAGACGTGGCCTCGCAGCGTGGTAGCAGCTGCTTTACTCTCGTTCTTACAGATTTTCTGTTCTTCTTCCATTTCTTGGCAGCATGTAAGACTTCCTCACATGCCGTGCTGTGCACACCCAGGGGACCAGAGTGAGCTTCTCTGCTCACCTTAAAATCCCATGTTCCATGTCCATTCATGAAATGGCGCTGTGCACCCCTGAGCTGCAAATAGCACCTCTTATTATGCACCTTGTTAGAACTTGAATGGTTCTCCCCCTCTGTTCGCATCCCGTCTGGCTGCTGTAATAACTCATAGATCTGAGATGCAAACGTTCAACATGGCTATCTCCGTTGGTCTAAAATCAAGATGGCAGCAGGATTCTGTCTTTGTGTATGTGTGTGTGTGTGTGTGTGTGTCGATGTCGCTCCCGGCTGGCAGGAAGGACACACGACAAAGTCTGGCAGTGGACAACCTTTTCTTTTATTTTCCTTCTCCGTACAGCCTGCCCTGGGATCGCTCCCAGCCGAAGCCTCCTTTGGTCCGCTCCCCGCAGCTCCTTCTGGGCTTCTACTTCCGGGCTTCTTCTTCCCCCCCCAGGGGTGGCACCAGTATATATACGGATACAGTGTCCAATCATGTTAAAGTAAGCAAGGCAAGCTGATTGGCTAACATCATCAGTTGCCAGGCAGACTATATTGTTGAGCGGGTTGCTTACGCGGTAAGCAGGAAACTAACGTGCTCGATGGGAGGGGTAATCTACCTCAGGCTTTACTCTTTACTACAGGCCTCACGTCCGCCAAGTGAGGCGACCGGGCTAGGGGCTGCGGCTCTCAACATCTCCCCCTTTTTTATTTTTTTTTTATAAATGTGCGCATCGTAGCCCTTTCTGGACTGGGTGCAGAGGCTTATGCCCTATGCGTAGGCCCACCGTAGGTCCTTGGCTTAGACCCTGGTCGGCCGTCCCATGGTCTGCCAAGGCCCTGAGGCCCTCGTCCTTTTTCTAGGGCCAGGCACAAACTGGACGGAACCTGGATGCACACAAGCTTGCACTCATTTTCTCTCCGTAAAGAATTTTCGGGTAACGGTCCCTTAAAGGTGGTTTCAACCACTCGAACACCCATATCAGGCACTAATATAAGTCTGGAGGCAACACTGAGGTCCACACCTGCTGACCCAGGGGTGGCCCTTGTTGAAGGCTGCCATCCTGAGCTGTCCTGTCTCTGGGGCGGGGGCCCGCCTGTGAAGGGGGCCCCCTCTGGCCGTTTTTTGGCCCTCTAGCATCTCGTCCACAAATACGGTTGCCCTGAGCATCAAAGACCGACCTACACTCCTCAGCTTTGTGTGATCCCCTCTTGCATCGCCCACAAACATATGGTTCTTCATTCCTAGGGCGAGGCCTAGCATCTGTATTGTTTGGGCAATGACGTTTAATGTGTCCTGGCTCCCCGCAGGCAAAACACCCTTTAGCCTTACATTCCCCTTCTGACCCGCGAGGTCCCCTCTGCTGTACAGCCGCGGCCAGGAGAGCAGCCACTCCCGAGTTGGAGAGCGGCCCCCCTATCTCTCTGCATATCCTAATCCAGGCGTTGAGGTCCTTGTTCTTATGAGGAGCTATCGCTGCCTTGCACTCCTTTGTACATTGCTCAAAAATCAGCTGCCTTACCAGCGGTCGAGCCACTCCCGGATCAGAAAATATCTTATCGGCAGCATCTTGCATTCGGGCCACAAAGTCAACAAATGGCTCTGTGGTACCCTGAATTATTTTTGAAAGACACAAGGAGGCTGTTCCGGCACCACTTACCTGCTTCCAGGCGCGGAGCCCTATGGCGTTGATTTGTTCATAGACAGCGCCGGGGAACTGAGTCTGATCATCAGCGTGCCGACCTTCTCCCATAAGCATTTCCTTGTTCCACCCCCGGTTTCCCCGACTGGCGTTTCTCTCAGCCTGCTCTGCAGAGAACTCTGCGTACCAGGCTCGCCAATCCAGGTAACTACCCGAGGGCAGACACGCCTTTGCCAGCTGAATCCAGTCCGCGGGGGTGAGGGGCCCAGAAGACAGGTTCTCCAGCATGGCAATGGTGTAAGGCGCAGTCGGCCCAAAGGTTGTAACTGCATTTTTAAGTTCTCTAATCTGCTTTATCTCAAAAGGCTCCCATGCATTACGTCCCTGGTCCATAGCTACTTGTACAGGAAATATCCCGTAGGGGCCACTATCTATCCCAGGTGGTGGATGTACCTCATGAAACAAATGTCCCCCCTGCCAAAGCCGCCTGTAAAAATACCGACCCGCCGGCGGCGGAGCATAAGACGGCGGCCATGATTGGGCGGAAAATGGGGGCCCGTGCATCACTTCCTGTTCTGGCGAAGAGGAAGGGAGCTCCCGGGCGGCCGCCTCGTGGCGAGGGATCGCTTCCAGGAACAGCCCCCAAGGTGGGGCGGAAGGCTTCGCCTCCCTCTCGCGCCGGGGAGCGCTCAGGAGCTCCCTACTCCTCCGCAGACCAAGTTGAGCGGAGCGCAATTCACGGCGCAACGCTGGGAAAGAACCCTGCGACTCCTTATCGAGCGACTTAGGCTCCTGACAGCTGGTCTCTTTGGCCTCCTTGCCATTCAACTTTCCCTCGTCCTCGGAGTCAGACGACTCCGAGGCTAGAGCCCCGTCCTTCTCCTTAGCATCTTTGTTCCCCTTGACGGGCCCCTCTCGGGAGCTCCCCGACTGGGCCTGCTCAAATACCCTGCGTACTTTTGTAAGCTCTTGAGAGCTTTCTCCACAACCACCCTCGCTCTTAGTGTTGCTACCTAGCATGTTTCCCATCTTTTAATATGTTACTCACCGCGTGAGGCCCAAGGAATCCGCCACTTACGCGTGAGCCTGAGGGGAGTCTAAAAGCCCTGTAGGTGCGCGCCACCCAGAGCCCAGGCTTATCCCCAACTCACCTGTCTCGCAGCTCTGTACTGGAGCGTTGTCCGCTGTCACGTCTCGGGGGTGATCAGTCCCCGTGCGGGCCTCCAAATGTCGATGTCGCTCCCGGCCGGCAGGAAGGACACACGACAAAGTCTGGCAGTGGACAACCTTTTCTTTTATTTTCCTTCTCCGTACAGCCTGCCCTGGGATCGCTCCCAGCCGAAGCCTCCTTTGGTCCGCTCCCCGCGGCTCCTTCTGGGCTTCTACTTCCGGGCTTCTTCTTCCCCCCCAGGGGTGGCACCAGTATATATACGGATACAGTGTCCAATCATGTTAAAGTAAGCAAGGCAAGCTGATTGGCTAACATCATCAGTTGCCAGGCAGACTATATTGTTGAGCGGGTTGCTTACGCGGTAAGCAGGAAACTAACGTGCTCGATGGGAGGGGTAATCTACCTCAGGCTTTACTCTTTACTACAGGCCTCACGTCCGCCAAGTGAGGCGACCGGGCTCGGGGCTGCGGCTCCCAACATGTGTGTGTGTGTGTGTGTGTGTCTTTTTAAGACAAGGTCTCGTTATGCAGCTCAGGCTGACCTAAAGCTCACTTTGAAGCCCAGGCTGGCCTCAAACTTGCAGGGATCCTCTTGCCTGAGCCTCTTGGGTGCTGGGATTACAGGCATGCACCCCTACACCCTGTTGGACTGTGTCCTTTCCAGCGGAAAACGATTTCCTGGCCTTTGCCAGTTTACCCGGGCTGTTCTCATTTCTTGACTCACTGACTCTGGTTCCACCACTAAGGACCACAATTCCAAATCGACAAAACCCGTCACAACCCCCTTTTTACCCTCATCTCCTGCTCATCACCTTCACTTTCTCTGACCTCTCTCTTATAAAGAGGAACCTCGTGAGTATACTGGTCTCCAGCAGGTAATTCCGAATCATCCCCCACCTCACGATCCACTGATTCACATTTTACAGTTCATTTTATTAATATGTGTTCATCGTACAAAGTGACCATCACAATCATCCAGGGAATCTGTATCTGGACCTAACAGACCTCACATCTTCTCCCGTGCTCTTCCCCTCCTTTCTACCCTCCTTCCCCTCGATGTTTACAAAAGATTTGTTTCCATTTTCTCCCTTTATGTTCTCTTTTTAAAATCCCATTTCCCTTCCATCCCTTCCCGTTTCCCAACTCTTGTCATCCTCCCATTTGAGTGGTTCCAACTTCCCATCTACCCGCCATCTTGTTCCTTGGGGCATCTCACACACAAAACAAGCAATGAAGTATTTAATCTTGAGTGTCTGGTTTAGTTCATTTAAAGCTACGGCTTCCAAGTGCATCCGTTTACCTTAAAATACCTTGTGTTTGTCCTTCTTTACGGCAGAGCAGTACCCCATCATATATAAACACCACATTTTACTTTACCCCTTCATCCATCGTTGGGCATGTGGGTTGTTTCCAAGGTGTAGTGATTCTACATTGTGCTGCTATAAACATGGTTATGGACACATCACTGTGACAGGATGGTGTTAACCAGAAGGGGAGTGTCAGGGCCAAATGGAAATTCTAGTTCTAGTTTTTTGAGGATTCTCCCACCTGAACCCCCTATAATGTCTGCAGCTAATGCAGAATCTTTCCAAGCATCGCCTACACCATTTCCCTGATGGGCCAGGCATCCTGCTAGTCTTTGGGGCAGGAGAAATGACACCCAGCTCGTGGTTTACACAGGGTGTGCACAATAAAGGTATCTAACTCTGGAACAGCGGCCTATCTCCCAAAGACTCAGAGAAGATGATTAGGTGGACAGGGTTTAGGGCCCCCAACCACATCTGCAGTGCAGGTGCCTGAACATCTGGAAGGGATGATTCTTCAGCCAGGGAGTGGAGTGAATCATGTGGCCAGCCTCAGGTGTGAGGCACCTTGGTGTTCCTCAGCCCAGCGGCTGCCTGAATAAATCACGTAGTACACAAAGCAGAAAAACGTGTGGCTGTTGACTTTTGCAAGCACAAAGCGAGCAAGTGCAGACAGTGCTTTCTTGTCTACACCTTCCCGATGTTTCACAGCCTCCCAGGGACTCAGAACTTACACCCACAGTGACGCACAGACGGCACA